CTAATCTAGAGAAACCTCTAACAGATGCAGGTATAATTAAAACATTTAACAGAAATCTGGACAAGTTTGAAGAAAGGTTTAGAGGGATATGGGCAAATGCAAGCAAATAGGACTAGTTTGGGAAACTTGGTCGACATGGATGAGTTGGACTGAAGGGTCTGTTTTCCATGCTGTATGACTTTATAACAGTAACTTGCCTTTAATTGACCTCAATGTTCACTTACATTATTTCCAGGCAAGTATTTGACTAATGGCCTTAAGGGGACTGAACAGATTAGTGGTGCAAACCCACCTCTACCTTTGAGTAAAATCACATTGTTTATTTGTGTGTGAAATCTGTGTTGTTCAGAGTATAAATACTTTGAGTATTTTATTTCATCCCTTCCTTTTATGAATGATCCTGCATTTGCTATCCATGGTTGAAAGGTTAAGTGGAAGCGAGTGTCATATATTCCGTTATTACCTGGCATATATAATACTGGAATAGATTAAGCCACTAACTACAAAAAACAGAAAGGTTACTCGCAGTTTGGGGGCTTAAGTGGAAATGTGTAATGTTTTAGTGCTTTCTGTTGTGTTTTAGGGGAAATGTATAGCTGATATTTTCTGCACCAGGCTGTGGACTAAGCCAACATACTGTGCAAAAGGAGGTTAGTGCAAGAAAAATAATACTGTGAATACTGACCTAGAAGGCAAATTCATTTCTTGATTGATTATTTGTTTGCCAGCTCTGCAAAAGGCAGGTTATGCAATTGATGGTAAGGAAACCTATCCTTAATATTGACCTGAGTTTCCAGAGCAATGAGGTGGCTGGCATAAGAAATTTGGGAACAAGATTAGGCTGCCATTCAGAGAAATCATGGATTATCTTAGCCCTAATTCCTTGTACTGTACTCACTTTTGCACTATATTCTTACTACCTTTGGTTAACAAACTAATCAATTTTTGACTTAAAAGACTGAGCAATAATCTGTCATCCATGGAAGAAAGTTCCAAACCTCTACAATTTTCGCAGGTAGGAGTGCTTGCTGACTTTCCTCCTGAAAAACACGTCTCCAGTATCCTTTCATCTCTCTAAACACAGACGGATTGTTGCACAGTTGCTGAGGAAACAATTGAGACTTGAAATGATAGCTCCCTGGAGGTGTTTATCTGGAGGCCAGGTGTGTGATCGCACGTCTGTAGCCAGGTTCGCTATTTCTTGGTATTATATTGATATTGTATGAAGCATTTCAGTGCTTTAAGGAGGGAAATGCTGGTGGTAGACTTTAACTATTTATGGTAAGTTTTGTTGCTAACCCTCCTATTTGTAAGGAGCTCTTGTTAATTACCACCTAAACCAGCAAGGGTGTGAAGCTACATTTGTTTCATGTCAAATAACCAGCTGGTAGGAGGTCGGAAGCCGAGCGGTTGTTTCCCTTGTGGGAAGGTGGAGGACCGGAGAGCATAATCTCAGAGTAAGGGGTTTACAATTTAAGACCTTTTTCTGCTTCACCTGACACCAATGATGGCCTAACCAATCAGCAGTAAACAAATAGGCTGGAAGAACACAGCGAGCCAGGCAGTATCTGGAGGAAAGGAGAAGTCAACATTTGGAGTATTGTCCTTCTTCAAGGGACTGGATGTGGGGGTAGGGGCAGCTGCAGACAAAGAGAGCGGGGGAGGGGTGGTAGCAGAATGGTAGTGATAGGTGGCCATTGGTAGTAGGTATGACCTGGTTGGTCAATGAGAGGGATGAATCCGGTTGGTTGGTTGAAAGAGAGGGTCAGAAGGTGAAATGGAAGGGAGGAGGTGGGGCTGGAAAGGGAGCCAGGGGATGGGTGGAAAGGTTATTTGAAATTAGAGAACTCAATGTTGAGTCCTCCGGGCTGTAGAGTGCCCATGCAGAAGATAAAGTGGTGTTCTTCAAATTTATGTTCCGAGTTGCTGCGACCCTGGAGGCGGCCGAGGACGGCCTTGTTGGAGGGGGAGTGGGGCAGGGAGTTGAAATGGGTGGTGACCGGGAGGTTAGGTTGGCCGTTACAGGTCAAGTGAAGATGCCAGCAAAATGGTCACCTAGTTTACGTTTGGTCTCACTGATGTAGAGAAGACCAAATCGGGAGCTCTGGGGTGGGGGGATCAGCCAGGAGGATTATTTGAGCAGCCATTATCCCATTTAAGAATGGAACAGATTTGATTGGCTGAATGGCCTGTTTCTCCTCCTGTCTTTTTGAGATCTCTTAGAGGTGACTTGCTCCAAGTTAACAAGCCTGCACCCCTCTCTCTCAAAACTGAACAGTTGAGCCCAGAAGGTCAGAGTACTTCATAATGGCACTGTTGACTGATGAACCTGGCAGCTCATTAAGGATGAAGCTCTTCCCGCTTTTGTAGCTTGCTTTGCATGTTCATGTCCAAGTGTGTAGGCTGGTCCTGGACTAGGAGCTAAAAGCCCTTTGCTGATATGTTACCTGTTTTCACCTGTTCAAACATTTGTAAGGATCTCTTGGTAATTCACTTACACTGTTGAGCGTGACAATGGGTTTCTGCAAATTAGACATCCAGCTGACTAGTGTAAAAGTTTTTCTGATAAGTATAGGAAATGTAGGAAGACTCTAATTAAGGAAGCAACTTGTTGGGACTTTTTCACATGCTGACAGTCACCCTGAGCGTAGGTAGTCATTAGGAAATGTTCAGATTGTCACTTCATATCATTACAAACCTTTATAACTCTCCTTTGGCTGCATTTTGACTGCTGTGGCGACAATATCACAGCAGAAAATAATAATTTGAGTCATTCTAATGTTTGCAAGTTGGGATACCTGGAGTTTTAATTTTGGGACATGTATAAAAAGTGTAATATACAATTATGCAAGATGTGTTCAAAGGTTTAGGTGACTAGGAGTTGGGGAGAGACTCACAGCACAAGCACTAACGTAGACCAGCTGGATGATTCTACCCTGCAGAATTGTGCTTAATTAAATCCAGTTTGTGTTGTTAATGTGTGAGAAAACTAGGATTTCTGTGAAAATTCACCTTTCACTTCTTTTACTGCAGTAGTGCTTTGAAAAAATCCAAAGGCAACACCTCTAATTAAGAGAAAGGGACCAAAAGTAGGAAACTGTTGCCCAATGTAAAGATACTTGGGATTACCATTCACTGCAAATTGAACTGGGCCAGCCGTATAAAAATTGTGGGTACAAGAGCAGGTTAGAAGCTGGAAACTCAGCAGCAAGTAACTTCGCACCTGACTCTCCAGATGCCATTCACTATCGACAAAGCACAAGTCCGAAATATATTTGAGTACTGCTCCACTTGTCTCCTGATGCGGCATCAGCAACACTCAAGCTTGATACCACTCAGGACAAAATCCCTTTATCAGCAGCCTATCCATCACCCTCTGTCACCAGCACATCCATGGCAGCATTGTGTGATATCTACAAGAAGCAGTACACTAGCTCACCAAGTCTCGTTTTACAGCACCTTCTAAACCAATGAGCGTTACCACCTTGATGGATAAGGACAACAGATGCATGGGACTACCACTACCTGCAGGGTCCCCTCCAAATTTCTAACTGATCTGACTTGGAACTGCATTGTCATTTTTTTTTTAAATTTGTTGGTCGTTTAAAATCTGGGTCTATCTACACCACCTGGACGGTAATGGTTCAGGAGGGGTGGGTTCACCAACTCTTTTTTTTGAGGGCAGTAGGTGTGGGAATAAATGCTAGCCTAGTCAGTGATACCCACATCCCATGATAGACGCTGGGTTAACTTTTAAAATATATTCTATCTTGGGGAAATATTTGGAATCCATTGTTGGGGAAGTAGTAGCAGGATATGTGGAAAATCCTAATACAATTAAGATTTAACATGGTTTTATGAATGGTCATTATTTGATAAGTGTTCAGATTTATTAGATTTGTTTTGAGGAGGTAAAAACAGGGTAGATACAGGGGACTTGGGTGCATTTTTCATTTCCAGAAGAGTTTGGTAAGATGTGACATAACTATGTAAGTTAAGAGCTCGTGACATTAGGATAGTATATTTGGCATGGAAAGAATTGGTTAATTAACAGCCAGACTTACTTGTGGGATGCCACATAAGTCAGTGCTGGGCCCTCGACTATTCACAATCTATTTAATGATGTGGATGAAGATACAGTGTATAGTACTCAAATTTGTTGATCATGCAAATGTAAGAAGTAAGTTGAGAAAGTCTGCAATCGAATCTGCCAAGGCATACAGATAAGAGGGTGGGCAAAATATTGACACATGCCTTGTAAATGAATAATAATAGTCTGTTTCATAGGAATAATTAAAAAGCAGAAGTTTATTTAAATGGAGATCAACTGCAGTACCAAGGATAGCAGGAACTGCAGATGCTGGAGAATCCGAGA